TGGGCGGGGGGAGGCGGGGTTTCCGTGAGGCCGGTGCTTTGTCCCGGGCGGGGCTCCCGTGGGAACCGGGGACTAAGCGGAACGGGGAGCAGAGGAGTGACCGACCGAGACCAGCAGACATGCGCCCTGACTGCTGCCACTCACACTTCGGGTTTAGGGTTTTTGTCGTGACCCTGGGAGTATTTTTTTAAACACAGTAGTAATTTTATTAAATTTTTAAAATTGATTTTAGGCCCTGACCGGTGTGGCTCAGTGGATAGAGCGCCGGCCTGCTAACTGAAGGGTCCCGGGTTCGATTCCGGTCCAGGGCATGGACCTTGGTTGCAGGCACATCCCCAGTGGGGGGTGTGCAGGAGGCAGCTGATCGATGTTTCTCACTCTCTATCCCTCTCCCTTCCTCTCTGTAAAAAAATCAATAAAATATATTTAGAAAAAAAAAAAAAGAATTGGCAGGGAGCCCTTCAGGCAGGTCCGTCCCGTCTGGCAGTGGAGACCACTGGGAGTCTGGGGCCGTGTTTGAAGGTGCCAGGCACCATCTGGATGCCATGCTCTGAAGTGAGAGAGAGAGAGAGGTGTGTGAAATGGAGGGCCGTCAGCCCATGGCATGGAGGGCACAGGCCCTGAGGCCAGGCTGGGTCCACATGGCTCCTCCCTCCCCATGTGCCCGTCGTTGCTGTGGACGGACACCGTGATCTTGATCCGGTGAGAAGAGGGTAGGCATGTGTGACACCAGGCCCTGGGAGCTCCTCTAAGGGGGGACACGGGGAGAATGGGGAGCAGGGTGTGGATTTGGGGTCCTGGGAGAGAAGCCGATCATAGATCTGTCCCCGTCAGGGCAGGGCTGTGTGACCTTCGAGGACGTGGACTGTGCCCAGCCGGCACATCCATGGGTGAACCTGGGGGCGGGGGGCGGGCGGTGAGGGATTGAAGAAGGCGGACGAGAGAAGGAAGCCGGGGCTGGGTGGGACGCTGCCCTCCGCTCTGATGGAGAGACAGCGCCACGGCCTGCAAGCCGAGTCTGTATTTTATAGTCAGACTCCACGAGGCACAGTAAGGTCATGGTCTAGATCAGTGGTCCCCAAACTTATTTGGCCTACCGCCCCCTTTCCAGAAAAAAATATTACTCAGCGCCCCCTGGAAATTAATTTTTTTTAAATTTTAATAGCAATTAAACAGAAAGATATATGTATTAATGTTTCTACCTTTTTCATAAAATATAGTAAAGGTGTAAATTAGAAACATTGAAGTTTGAAATTATGAAACTATTGAACTCAGAATAGAAAGGTAATACAAAAAAAGTTAAAACAAATGCACCTGTGGCCATCACCGCCCTCCTGGATCGCTGCAGCGCCCAGCAGGGGGCGGTAGCGCCCACTTTGGGAATCACTAGTCTAGATGTTTACAATGTTCTCACGGTTTCAAATCTTCTCAGTTACACGCACCTGGTCAAGCTGTGTTTCCTGGCTGCACCCCCCGCAGCCCACATCACTCAGCCACGGGGCCCACGGGTTCGGACCATAAGGTCAAGCTTACACTATAGCAGTGGTTCTCAACCTTAGCTGCACATGAGAATCGCCTGGGAGTCTTTTTAAAATCCTGATTTCTGGGCCTCCTCCTCCGGAAATTCTGTTTCTTTGTGATGGGGTGGGGCCACAACATTTCGTCACAAAGAAACAGAATTTCCGGAGGAGGAGGCCCAGAAATCAGGATTTTAAAAAGACTCCCAGGCGATTCTCATGTGCAGCCAAGGCCGAGAACCACGGCTCTATAGCCTTTGGCTGTAATTGTGCTGCGACTTGCACGTGGCTTTGTCGGGAGAGGATCGAGCTCTCTCATTAGTCTCAGGCTTGAACCTGTCCATAGGCTGTAGCCCCGTGGTTCTCAACCTTCCTCATGCCGCGACCCTTTAATACAGCTCCTCGTGTCGTGGTGACCCCCAACCATAAAATTATTTTCGTTGCTACTTCATCGCTGTAATGTTGCTACTGTTATGGATCGTCATGTAAATATCTGATATGCAGGATGTATTTTCATTGCTACAAACCGAACATAATTAAAGCATCGTGATTCATCACAAAAACAGTATGTAATTATATATGTGTTTTCCGATGGTCTTAGGCGACCCCTGTGAAAGCGTCTTTCGACCCCCAAAGGGGTCGCGACCCACAGGTTGAGAACTGCGTGTAGCCACTCTCCACAGGGGACATTTTCTTCTCGAAGGAGGAGTGGGGGCTCCTGGATGAGTGGGGGCAGAGACGCCTGTACCTCGATGTGATGCTGGAGAAGTTGGCACTTCTCACTGGGTGAGGCCTTCACAACTCGCCTCGGTGACCTGGCCCTGTCCGTCCTTCCCACAGACATCTCGACTGGTTGCCTCCCGAACACAACCTGACTCGGCCAGGGATCAAACCTGCACCCACGCGCACGCCCTGGACCGGGAATTGAACCCGCAGCCCTTTCCGTGGGTGCGTGGGCCGACGCGCTAACCACTGAGAACACTGGTCAAAAATGTGTTTTAAACATAAATAACCTTTAACATTTACTAAAAGGCACCAGTAGCCAAACTTCAAAAATGTATTCACTGCTGGAGCTTAAATTCTATCTGGGACCCCAGCCCTTCACACACTGCATCCCTGTGGCCTTGGGAAAGTGAATGTAACACAGACGAAGGGAGAGATGCCTCATGGGAACTGTAGCCTTTCCTAAAGTTCCCCAAGTCACAGTGTCGGGGAAATGAGACATTTGTGGGGGGCTAGTGATCTGAGTCTGTGCCAGTAGCCTGATGCACAGACTGTTAGCCTATAGTTTCGTCCAGGGGTGGGCGACCTTTTTGTGAGTGCGTGCCAAAACCAGCAAAATCTGACTCAAAATTCTGCGTGCCAAGCCTAATTTTCTGAGAACATGTTACACTTACTCGATATCTCTTAAGGTGTACGTATGTGAAGAACCTTGAAGAAATAATAAAATTCATTCGAGCGACAGAAACACAGTCTATGATGATGTAAAATACATTTATTTTTTAATGTATACATGTACACGGATAGTCCGACAGAAAACGTTATGACTCCGTTTGATATTATCAGTGGGACTTTTGCTGCTGC